TCAAAAATAGTGGAGTGTTCCTTTAAGTGAATTAATATTTTTACATTGCTGTGTATTTATGTGTTTGCTCATGTTTTTCTCAGTTCTTCCTGGCCGAAGGTCTCTGGACTTTCCATATTGTGCTGTTAAGGTGGAGCTGAGTTTCTCTGCCCTGTTCTCCAATGTCCTGGTTGTGTTTGGTACAGTGAGGAACACAAGCGCTAAGGCCCAGGACTGCACTCTGATTCTTGAGAGTGAACCAGTAAGTCACAGCTTTTCATGTCCTCTTTTGCTGTGATAAACACATACACACGGATACACAAGGTGGATATGAGAGTCAGGACGGGAGGGCCCAGAAAAGGAAAGAGGGTTGTGTTTCATAGTGTTTTGTACTTGAATGTGCTTCTTAAATTTTTCCAAACTTATGAATGTAATATGGAGGAGGTTCATGCAGTGGCATTGAACATTAAAGGAAATAATAAAACGAAACAATTTTCACTCCCTTCGTGAGTCTGTTCTAGACAAAATAGGTCTTATATTTTGTATCAAGCATTGCTCACCAACTGTATTGAGCTGTAACAGATTTTGGTAGCACAACTCATAGCCAGTGTTAATTCAGGATTATTTATATAATACTATAATATTTATAAATTTTTTATATGAATGTTTTCAGTTTTCATTTTAATTTTAGTTTAAGTTTTTAGTAATTTTATGTGCTTTTTGTCCTTTTTTTATTGTTTTTGTTTCTTTATATTCTTGTTTTATTTTTTTATCTTTTTAGTACTTTTAGTACTGAAGTATAGTAATTTTAGTACATTTATATATACTTATACACAAGCAATGCACCCAAAAGCTCAAATATATTTGTTTTAAATAGATATTTAGATTTTAGTAAATTGTTCCTCTGATATGTTATGTAATTAGTTGCATTTTTATTTTCACAATAGTTTAAACAGTAATGATTTAACATTAAAAAAATATTGCTATACTGCAAATGTGAAGTTTAAAAAGTTCAGCAGAAAGAAGTAGGAGGAAAACAAAACTGTAGGTCTACTGACCTCCAGGGGTGAAAACGTGTTATACGTCATTGGGTATATATCATAGACTGTATAAAAACAGGTATATATACAGTTCGACATTCACTTTACCTGTATGTTTGATATCAGTTTAAGTGGTGATATGTTTTTGTTTTTAGCAAATGCAGGACATTTTCTCAGGTTCTGGTCGATCAGAAGAAATGGACAGTCTGCTTGTAAAGAGTGGTGAAACTCCTGACTGCACCCTCAGATTATGTTGCCTTCAAAGACTCCAGGTACAAGGACTTTTTGTCTTTGAAATGAAAAACAGAGGTATAGATCTTAAATTTTAAAACATTGATACTGATACACGTTCTATTTAAAACACTTGATTGTCAACTGGTCACAGATAATAGTAGGGTTTTGGCGAGCATGTAATATGCAAATGATAAAATTCAACTAACTAAAAATTAAAGGGGCTATGAACTTGCAAAATGAAAAGAAATATATTATATTAATTATATTATATGATATTATTATATTTTTTATTATAATATATACCACTGAACCACTGATGTAGAATAATGCACTATATCTGAAAGTCAAAAATACTGTTTAAAGACGGTAAATAATTGCAGTTTATTCATACTTCCTAGGGATCTCTGGATGCTAACGGTCTAATCAGATTCAATGATCTATGCTAAGCTACAGCTAAAAGTGCTACCACCAGACCCGGAGATCGGCTGAATGCATTCGAAAAGGGTCAAACTCAACTGTTTAACTCTAGGGGAGTTGGAAAATGACCTTATTTTCAAAAATAGTGGAGTGTTCCTTTAAGTGAATTAATATTTTTACATTGCTGTGTATTTATGTGTTTGCTCATGTTTTTCTCAGTTCTTCCTGGCCGAAGGTCTCTGGACTTTCCATATTGTGCTGTTAAGGTGGAGCTGAGTTTCTCTGCCCTGTTCTCCAATGTCCTGGTTGTGTTTGGTACAGTGAGGAACACAAGCGCTAAGGCCCAGGACTGCACTCTGATTCTTGAGAGTGAACCAGTAAGTCACAGCTTTTCATGTCCTCTTTTGCTGTGATAAACACATACACACGGATACACAAGGTGGATATGAGAGTCAGGACGGGAGGGCCCAGAAAAGGAAAGAGGGTTGTGTTTCATAGTGTTTTGTACTTGAATGTGCTTCTTAAATTTTTCCAAACTTATGAATGTAATATGGAGGAGGTTCATGCAGTGGCATTGAACATTAAAGGAAATAATAAAACGAAACAATTTTCACTCCCTTCGTGAGTCTGTTCTAGACAAAATAGGTCTTATATTTTGTATCAAGCATTGCTCACCAACTGTATTGAGCTGTAACAGATTTTGGTAGCACAACTCATAGCCAGTGTTAATTCAGGATTATTTATATAATACTATAATATTTATAAATTTTTTATATGAATGTTTTCAGTTTTCATTTTAATTTTAGTTTAAGTTTTTAGTAATTTTATGTGCTTTTTGTCCTTTTTTTATTGTTTTTGTTTCTTTATATTCTTGTTTTATTTTTTTATCTTTTTAGTACTTTTAGTACTGAAGTATAGTAATTTTAGTACATTTATATATACTTATACACAAGCAATGCACCCAAAAGCTCAAATATATTTGTTTTAAATAGATATTTAGATTTTAGTAAATTGTTCCTCTGATATGTTATGTAATTAGTTGCATTTTTATTTTCACAATAGTTTAAACAGTAATGATTTAACATTAAAAAAATATTGCTATACTGCAAATGTGAAGTTTAAAAAGTTCAGCAGAAAGAAGTAGGAGGAAAACAAAACTGTAGGTCTACTGACCTCCAGGGGTGAAAACGTGTTATACGTCATTGGGTATATATCATAGACTGTATAAAAACAGGTATATATACAGTTCGACATTCACTTTACCTGTATGTTTGATATCAGTTTAAGTGGTGATGTGTTTTTGTTTTTAGCAAATGCAGGACATTTTCTCAGGTTCTGGTCGATCAGAAGAAATGGACAGTCTGCTTGTAAAGAGTGGTGAAACTCCTGACTGCACCCTCAGATTATGTTGCCTTCAAAGACTCCAGGTACAAGGACTTTTTGTCTTTGAAATGAAAAACAGAGGTATAGATCTTAAATTTTAAAACATTGATACTGATACACGTTCTATTTAAAACACTTGATTGTCAACTGGTCACAGATAATAGTAGGGTTTTGGCGAGCATGTAATATGCAAATGATAAAATTCAACTAACTAAAAATTAAAGGGGCTATGAACTTGCAAAATGAAAAGAAATATATTATATTAATTATATTATATGATATTATTATATTTTTTATTATAATATATACCACTGAACCACTGATGTAGAATAATGCACTATATCTGAAAGTCAAAAATACTGTTTAAAGACGGTAAATAATTGCAGTTTATTCATACTTCCTAGGGATCTCTGGTGATCAAAGTGACACTGCACTACACCCACACACAAACGAAAGAACGTCTCACTGAGAGCAAAGAGCTGGACATAGGCAGGCCTCTCATTGCCTCCTGCAAGCTGAATCAGATGAGACCAGTGGACAGGAGACAAGAGAGTCGTGTCCATACTGTGGACCACATGTCCAATATAAGATATCCTCATCATCAGAACCATCCTCGACCTGGTCGGCCCTTCACACGCAAGGCTGAGAACCGATTACAGAGTTCAGCCAAATCCACCTCCATGAGCAGCAATGAACCAGAGGAGAATGATGAAAATGACTCTAATGAATTCACTATGTGATGTTCCTTCCCTTTACAAATACACAGTAAGGCATTGTTTTGATGCAACAAAGGATTTTTCTTACATTAATTGTTTACTTTTTGCTTACTAATTACCAGTTGCGATACAGTAAATGTGTGTGTGTTTGTGAGAGAGCGAGAGAGAGAGAGAGAGAGAGAGCAATGAAAGGAAGAAGTTCTCATGCAAATGTAGAAATATTTATACAAATTATTTGTAAATCAAATTAAGTGTAATATTCTTATATAACCAATAAAGTACTACTTCTGGAGTTTTCCTGTGTGATGAAATTTCATATTCAAAACGCAGTCTTGGAATGTAAAGGTATTGATATTAAAGTCATTAAATATTAATGCATTTGTAGAACTTATATAAATACGGTAATAATAAGGTTAAAAGATGTCAAAAGATGAAAAATGTGGAAAATCAGAAGGTGTTTTGGATTAGGTCATAAATTCATTTTTATTTTAACAATTCGTATTTACAGGTATTATACATTTAAGCCATATCACATTTACAGATAATTAAAATTAATGTTGCATGAAGCTGAAATAAATATTTATTCAAAAAGATAATATTTTTTATTCAATACAAGAACACAGACAAAAGATAAATACAGTAACATATAGTCACACAGTGCCCTTTCAGTGTTTGTTTTAATTTATGTGAAAAAATAATTTATATTCATTCATTAAAATGTATGAAATTAAAAAAGACAAAATGTAATTTAAAAAAAGAAAGAAATATCCTGCACATACCAATTTTCTCCCAATACAATTTTCTAAATAATTTTAAAAGAATATTGAATAAATATTTAAAAACATTAGTAAATGTTTCATTTTCATTTATATCTTTTCGTTTAGCCAGACAAATCTTATGCAATATTTTGTAAGATACTACTTTGATGTTGTTATTGATACCAAAGACTTGGTCCTACTGCCGAATTAAGAAAAAGAAGGAAAAAAAATACTGCTCCAGGAAATGAAGAGTACAGAATATTCCTTATAACCTTACTACTACCTTTGTCCAGCATCTTATTGGACAACAATGACCTCCAAATACGCTGCAGCACCCCAATCTTTCATTGTCCGTTTCAAACGCGTCCTTATTTGGAAATCTTAACCATTGGCTAGAAGGAGTGTCAATCAGCTACTGTGGTCCCGCCCCCTTGCTCAAATATCAAGCGGTGAATGGTCAACAGTCGGGCTGCTACTGTCTGCTCGTAACCACAGCGACTTAATGTGGAGCTGGATGCGTTCTGGAGGAACCTGTTCGCGATAACAGAAGATAAAATACTCAGCCGAACATCTGCAGCGTTCATGTCATCGGATAAAGATGCCGTCGGCTTCGGTTAGCTCGTTTCACCTGGGCGACCGGAGAGTTTGGTCGATGTGACATTGCTTGAGCTTTTTGTTCTGGTCCCGGACGCAGAGCAGCGATCGTGCTCTGGGAAGATGTTGAGTCGGCTGATGAGTGGCAGCGTCAGAAGCCTGGAGCGAGAATTCATGTGCACGGTCAGACTGCTGGATGATACGGAGTATACCTGCACCATTCAGGTCAGTCTCACCAGCGAAAAACAGCCTTCAGCAGAGCTTTTGTTGCAGGCTGGGAGAAGCGTGCGCAGTGGGTTTTAATAGCAGGTGCCAGCAGCCAGCATCCCCCTAAAAGGAGCTCCTTAGAAAATCCTGTAACGCTCGTTTGATGTGGAAGAGTCTTAGCTTGTAAAGGCAGTTCAGATTTTGTTTGGTCTCAGATAGAGGGCTTGTTTTGCTCTCACCATGACTATTGAAGTGCTGCTGCTTCTATAGCCTACTGGAATGTAAATGTTGTAGTTAACATCTGGTTTGTTTATATATATAGGTTTGCGTAGCAATTTCTTCTCTGTAAGCTCTGTAAGAGCAACCTCACTTTTTGTTTGGACACATGGGTGAGTTCGAGATATTTTAGGAGCATCCATTGGTGATACTTTGGTGTAAAGGAACAGTGCACCCAAAAATAAAAAGTCTGTCGTTATTTACAAACCTGTATGATTGTCTTCTTTTCTGTGGAACACAAAAGGAGATGTTCATGACAGCTTCAGGATACACTGAAAGCGAATATGAGTGAGGCTGTCAGTCACATCTCCTTTTGTGCATCATGGATGACAGATTTTTCTCTTTTGGGTGAATTATTCCCTCAACTTTTGCATGGGCATCACTTGTAGCACTCTTGGATTTGGTGTCTGAGACAAGTCTGTAGTAAACATGCCAGGACCGACTTCAGAGAATCAAGTTATTCAATGCACGTGTCCCCCTTTACAGTTTATTATCATAGTATTGGAAATGCTCCATAAGCAGGAAAGTGTTGTATGGATTCTGGCATGATGTCAACACTACACATCCATTAATAATGTATGCTTTGGTCTCCAAAACTGCCCCTTGGGCACTTGTAAATCAAGCAGTTTAGCAGAGCAGCATGGATGGCTGGCTGCTAAACACTGGCTGTACAGGAGTGTGTGAAATCCGGCAGATTATGGGAGGTCTGTTACTCCGTGATGAAGGGAGGGTTACATCATAAACACTGGGGATAGAGAAACTGCAACCAAACCAAACTATTTCACTCTTTTCAATTGTCTCTAGTAGATTTTTCTCAATGATATTTTTTTATTTAAACATTACTCACATTTGTAAAGGTCGCTTTTTTATCATCCACATATAATATTTTAGGAGAAGGTTTAGTTTATTACCCTGCTTTCCCTGAGGGAAACACTAATTGTTTTTCACAGTTTATGTTTTTTTTTTCTTCTTTGATGAATATTTTTGCAGTTTTTACAGGGACTTTGAACAGTTGACATTGTGATTTGATGTGTTTTGCCATATTTGATGGGAATATTGATTTATTCTATGTAAAAGTATGTTGTATAATATCATGCATATAAGAGTTAGTCCAAAAAGTAGCTTATATGTCACACTTATTGTCTTGTTGATACTGTTTAATACAGACTAATTGTTATATTAACTTGTCAACTACTACAAGTTTTTAACTGGTTGATTTGTAAATTATTACATTTAGGTTCGCACAATACTGAATATATGGTTAAGTAGTTCACAGGTTTTCACCTCAGGACTTCTTAAAAACGAAAAGATATTAATATTGCAGTATTCATAATAATCATCAACCGTTACAAGTTTTTCAGTGGCTGTTAACATTTAGCTCTCCACAATCCTGAATATGTCTTTAAATAATTTCTAGGTTTTCACCTTAAGATTTTAACTAACTGTTGTTGCCTCAAACAGAGCAAAAATAATATCATATATATTTAAAAAAAAAAAAAAGAAAATGAACAAAAACAGATGTGATTTATTTTAATAGGAAACACAGACATACAGCCGAGTGCAGGTTGGCATTTTTTCCTGTATTCAGCTGTGTGTTTTTCTTTGAGGATGCCTTTGTTTCATGTGTAGCTTGAAATGAAACGGGAGCCCACAGATCGCTTTCCATTACAGTCAATCTGAGAGCATCCTATTTCTCAGCCCTCAGAAGACTGAGAGGACTGTGGCTCCTAGATGACACGCACTCCCTCAGGGCTTTCATACGGTTTCGACGCATCAAGACAATCATTGCGTGTTAGAGAGGATTAGAAGGAGGAAAAAAGGAGAGGAATTTTTCAGGAGCCACCTGAGTGAAGACTTTAAACTGTCTTTATGAGGAAGGAGTGTTTGTTTTATTACCACAATTCCACATCGTGTTGACCTGTTGATATTTAAAGGCCTGTTAGAAGGATTTTACAGGGAAAGCAAAAAAGTACCATGGAAGTATATGGAAGAGATTATGTTTGAATGTTTTTTTTTCAGTCCTTGTGATGATAATGCTGAGTAATCTTACTCTGACAGTACAGCACTTATAAGTTTCTAAAGACATTTTCTTGGCTTACAGTGAAGTATCTGAAGACATCCTGTGTCAAAGAATTTATATGGATCATCAATTGGCCGATTACGATTTGCTCAAAATGTCCACATATTGACAGAATAACCACACTTGATATATAGCTCTGTCATTCATGACTTTAAAGCTGATATTATACTTTTGTGCTACAGAATATTTGAATAAAAGCAGCACAAAATCACAGAGACCCACTGTAAAAACTGGGACATGTAGTTTCCAGAAATTTACTGTAAACTACAGTGACAATTATAACAGTCTATTTCATTAAGAGATATTATGTTAATAAACCAATCAACTTGAATTACCGTAATCAAATTTTTCCTTTAAAGTGTACTGATAATCACCATATTAATACAGATTGTGAACCAGAAAGCCACTTGATAAATCAGATTTCACTGTAAATGGTCTGTTCTGTACATAAAACATGACCAATTCTCACATATAGATAAAAACAAAGACAAAACACCATGAGGATAACATATGTGACACTAAAACAATGCAACTAAATAACAAAAAATGTAACAAAAATGCCCTATGGTACATTATGAAGGTGAAGGTGAAGGTGACAACCGGAGTGCAATGGCCGAGCCTCACCCTGGGTGAACCACCTTCTTGATCATGGTGTCTCCCCTGCCAGGTAAGTATGGTACACAAATAAGAAGATAATATTTAGTATGACAGTATTTCATATATAATGCAATGTTAAATCATTCACATTTTTTTACTGTATAGGGTAAGGTAAACAGTTAACAGGTTTTTGCTTTAACATATAATCTTTTTTATTTTAAAAAATAGCAAAAATTTTTTTTATATATAAAAATATTATTTTAATGATTTATTTTTTTTTTTGTTAAAATAATTTTTTTTCTCAATTGTCCATTTAACAAATTACAATTAACACGTATCTGCCTTGCCAAAAGAAAAAGTGCACAGTTTTCAGCTATTTGAAATAAATATTGGGCAAAATATATTTTTTAAAAAGTAAAAAAAAAATACAACATGTTGAATTAAGGATGCGTACATCATATTTGCTCTCATTAAATTATATAATAAATATGTAGCTTATCAGTAGTGACTATGTCAAAGTGATGTCCATATGGCAGAAATGTACAGAGAAAATCATCCAGTTAGTTAATGACGTGTATTCTTACAGCAATGTATTAACAGCAATGACTAAATGTTGTGATTAAACTTATAGAAAGATTTGGTCGTTTTGTATGTTGGTTCAAGGTTGGCATCATCTCTTCTCAGGAGTTCGGTCATCTCAGATCTTTATAAGGGCTGGATCCAGGTTGAAGCTTGTGTAATTCCTAGTTACCTCGGGATGCGCATCCTATGGAAGCCTGTTTCCGCCACTGAATAAAAAATAGAAAAAAGGTTATTGCGACTTTTTATCTCACAATTCTGACTTTTTTTCTCAGAATTGTGAGATATAAACTCGCAATTGCGAGTTATAAAGTCAGAATTGCGAGATATAAACCCACAATTCTGAATTTTTTCTCAGAATTGTGAGATATAAACTCGCAATTGCGAGTTATAAAGTCAGAATTGCGAGATATAAACCCACAATTCTGAATTTTTTCTCAGAATTGTGAGATATAAACTCGCAATTGCGAGTTATAAAGTCAGAATTGCGTGATATAAACTCACAATTGCAAGTTATAAAGTCAGAATTGCGAGATATAGTCACAATTGCAATTCGGACTTTTTTTCTCGCAATTGCGAGTATATATCTCGCAATTCTGACTTTATAGCACGCAGTTGCGAGTTATAAAGTCAGAATTGCGTGATATAAACTCGCAATTACGAGAAAAAAAAGTCAGAATTGCGAGTTTGTATCATACAATTATGAGAAAAAAAGTCCGAATTGTGAGATAAAAAGTCGCAATTACCTTTTTTATTTTTTATTCAGGGGTGGAAACGGGCTTCCATACTAGGGTTGTGATGGTGAGGAAATTTTCCCAACGGTTAATCGACGTGTGACAACACCAATAATACTGGTATCACCGTGGCAGGCCAGGGGCGTTTCCTCTTCTCCTCACTTTCCTTCGCTTTTAAATAGCTTGCAAAAGCAATTGCGAGTTATAAAGTCAGAATTGTGAGTTTTAATCTCGCAAATCGGATTTTAACTCGCAATTGCAAGTTTATATCTCGCAATTCTGACTTTATAACACGCAATTGTGTGTTATAAAGTCAGAATTGTGAGATATAAACTCGCAATTCTGAGAAAAAAAGTCCGAATTGTGAGTTTATATCTCGCAGTTCTGACTTTATTTCCCAGAATTGCGACTTTATGTCTCGCAATTGTGAGTTTATATCTCACAATTATGACTTTTTAACTCGTAATTGTGAGTTTATATCACGCAATTATGAGAAAAAAAGTCCGAATTGTGAGATAAAAAGTCGCAATTACCTTTTTTATTTTTTATTCAGGGGTGGAAACGGGCTTCCATACTAGGGTTGTGATGGTGAGGAAATTTTCCCAACGGTTAATCGACGTGTGACAACACCAATAATACTGGTATCACCGTGGCAGGCCAGGGGCGTTTCCTCTTTTCCTCACTTTCCTTCGCTTTTAAATAGCTTGCAAAAGCGGCGTGCGCATTTTACTTTCACTTTCAAATAGCGGCAA